TTCTAAAGAATTTGGCTGTAAATAAAACTGCAAATCAGCGTCAACTGGTCTTTTTTTGAAATAATCATCGTAATCCTATATTATATTAGGATCATCACCTGAGATATACAGAATATCAGCTTTTGCTTCAGATCAATTTATATTTCTCTGATTTGCTTTTGATTCATATAAACAAATAGTAAAACCACCATCATTCTTTTTCTTAAAATTTGATGCTAATAATTTATAATGCTCGCCTCCTCTAAGCAATAAAAAAATTGTATTTCTGAAAAAAACACGATATAATAACCCTTCTGGTGTAAATTTATCCAAATGAGGATGTTTAAAAATCATAGCAACTTCACTTTCACTTAAAGGAAAAGCAGCTCTTTGTTTACCTAATCCCTGCCTTGCAAGTTGTTTAAATTTTCCATTAATTACTTGCTATAACTTATAGAATTTCTCTTAATTTAATATATTTACTTGATGGATTACAGAATGTTCAAATAAATGTCATGCAATAGCATAAACTCTAACTTTGACAGATTGTGCTTTATAATCTTTTCCATTAACTGTTCGTATTGCTACAATAAATTTAATGATTTGTTTTTCAAATTCCTTTTCGTTATTAATTTCTTCAATTTTTTCATTTAAATTTATATATTTTCAAAACTTTTCTAATTAAATAATTCAATTGTTGGTAGATTTATCAGTTGAAAACCAATGGTTAGAATCAACTATTGCTTATATTTCTTTAATACTGGATTTACTGTATTTAAAAGTTGGCTAATAAAAATAAAATTTAAATATTGCTAAATATTGTTTAAAAATAAATAACTTTAAAGATAATATATACTTTTACAAATGGTTTTTGTTTTACTTTTGGTATAATAAAAAATGTATAAATGATAAAAGGAAGGGAAAAGAGAAAAGAAAAAAAAGCAAATAAAATTTTATCATGATCAGGACTGAATAATTATATCGTAACTTCATGTATAATCGTTAATTACTTTACAGTTTACATAAACTATATTTAATTGGTTAGAATTTTGCCATATAATAGCAAAATTCTAACTAATTAAATAAACTCCCATGAACTGTGAATTAATATCTGATAACCTGTAAAGTTACTATTAATAACAGCATGTAAACTTACAAAATTTATCCATTTAAAGTAAGTGCAAAAGTTTTAATCTTATTACGTTTATCATTAATAAGTTGAAAAATAAGCTGAAGATCAAAGGTATTGACTATAATGACCAGTGTTATAGTGATGATAATAAGGAGAGTACAAAAAATTTGATTGCTACCATTTTATGTATGAGTTTCTATTTGATATTAATATAATAATTGATATTGTAGCTTTTAAAGGTAGCTCAACGAGGGTATTTATAAGGATAAGTAGTAATAAACTTTATAAGCTAATATTAATAAATAATTTGTATAATCATAAATAATAGTATAAAATTTACCTTAAAGTCAAACTCAATGAAGGATTTTTAAAAAGTTGATGTTAATAAGACATATAAGCCAATACTCACAAATATTTTGCAAAATCATGAATTATTATGCAAAACTTATCATATAAAAAGAATATTTTTTAAAGCAATAAGCCTTATAAATTACTCATAAATAATACTTTGAGTATTTGTATATGTGTCATTGACTGCGTCTAACTTAACGTTAATTTTTTTTATTGATTGTGCAAATGTAACATTTTCACCTTTAATTAAAAATTATTAAATCGTTAGAATTTTTTACAAATAGGCTTTGCTTTTATCTTTATTTTAGATAGGGATTTCAATTAAGGGCTATTACAGAGGGAGACCTACACTATGTATTTTTATAAGCCAATCAAAAGCCTCATCTAATATATGTTTATTCAAAAGATTAAAAAAATACTTCAACTTAAACTAATTTCAAATCTATCTAACTTTTAAGTTTAGTAAACTAAAATTTTGCAAAAAATAATAATAGTTAAATATAAATTAAATACTTTTTGACATATATTTAACTATTACAAAATTTATGAATAGAATTATAAGCATTTTACAGATAATTTGAAATTTTTGGTATTTTTGTAATAATACTAATATTATAATTTTAGCAAATGAAGATTGTATAATATGTAATAAATTATATTAAAATGATTCTAACAAAAAAGCAAACTTTTTATTAAAATTGTATATTGTATAAACGTAAAATAAAAAATATAAAATCTTTTGACCTAATCATATGATTCCAAGAATATAAATTATTAATATAAATCAATATATAAGAGAGGTTTTATAATTTGATCTACACCAATATACTCTTATTAGTGAACTTATAAAATTATAAAATTCCAGTTATCCTAATATAATTATCCCAAAACTAATTATAACTAACTACTTAACTTATTAACTTAGTTAATTGTTTTTAATCTAACTATTGAGATTATGAAGTTCCTATCCTATTTATTAAAATTCTTGATTTACTTCTATTGTTAATTAAAGATAAAGTAAGATTAAGAAACTATAGAAACATTATAAATATTATTAACTTTATTAATAAGTTTGACTAAATAAATCTTTTTAACTATATTAACTTATTTAATCAAGTTCATTTTATTAATGACATTATTACCATTTTCATTATTTTTATATTTTCGACTATTTGATTATTAGACTGTAATTAAATAATTATGGTTTTATTTAAAAGAGATATATAAAATTCTTTTTAATTCTTTTTTTTTAAAATTATCTAAGTTCAATAAGATTATACTTATTTATTTTCTTGTAATTATTTTTTTTTAAAAAAAAAAACTTGATGATGCAATATTTTATTATAGAAATCAAATTTAATATAAAATACATAAAAATCTTAAAACAAATACAAAAGTAGAAAAATAAAAATTGCTACCTAATATTCATTACTAGAGAATTAGTTCTCATCAGATTAACTGGTTATCCTGTTTAATTTTGATTATAAAGATTTACTGAACAATCATCAATACTAAACTGTATAAAAGGAATCATTAAAGCAACTGGTTATTACTGATCTAAGAAGAAGGATCAATATCAACCATATTTGTAAGAATTATAATTAAAGTGTTATATTCTAAGATGTCTGTATTATCAGTTAATAAAGTGTTAGAGAAGCTATTAATAAAAAAGTTAATATTAGATGTAACAAAATTACTCTCTTTTGTCGCTTGGTTATATATAAAGATCTTTCTTTGACTAATGTTAAAATACATCTAGTTTTCCATATATTTTTCTAAGCTTGAATAAAATTAAAATTAAAAAAAAAAAGAAAGGATAGATGAGGTAGTGGAGGATAATTTGGTGAATATTGTTAAGGTTAATAATAAAATAATAGAAATAATAATTTTAATAATATTAATAAAAAAGAAATTATGTAGATTTACTCATAATGACTAGATTAAATATAAAGGATTTAAAAGATTATTAATATTGTTTGCAAATTCAGATTTTGAAGTGTAAATGAATAATTGTAATTTTAGATAAACAATAGATTCAGAAATTAAGGATCACATATATTATTTAATGTTAGAGTAAAGTTAAAAGTGATTAAAATCTTCATTATGATTATTATAATGCAGCATTTCCAAAAAGATAAATATAACTGAGGTTATATAACTTTTATAAACTGAATTGTTAGAAGTTATTTAAGAAGACATTTGAGTTTTTTACTATAACTTCTTATTTCGTTAAATGATGTAATAGATGCTGATCTAATTTGAATGAATTGAATAGTCAAAATCCAATTAACTTGTAAGTGTTGATATTTGGAATTTCATTTGAGATGATAATAATTAGAGAAATGTTTAGTATTAATATAGTCTTTTAAAAAGGAGTGTAAAGGGTGATGTATAGATATATTATTAAATATAGGTATGTAATTAATGAAAGAGATATAATCTAAGGAAATAGTTAGAGGGGGGAAAGGAGAGAGAATTTTACTAATTGATTAGCCTTATCATTATATAGATTATTAGAGTGAGTAGCAACTTTAAGAAGTGAAATAGTGATTTGTCATTCCTCAATAATTTTAAAAATAATTAATCAGAAAATGTAAAAGGAAACTTTAAACATAAATGAAGATATTGAATTGCCTTTGTTCTAATTATATAATTATAGATGTAGATAAGGGCTAAACTATCTGTATATATGGAAATTGAAGAAGATAAAAGACTAATTAAAAGGATTAAAAGAAGAGCAAAAATTTCAGCATTAGTAAAGTTAGTTCAAATAGCAGAGATAGCAGTTAAGAACTCTATATCTAAGGAATCATATATCAGATAAAAAGTAGAACTTAAATATGATTCAAAAGGTAAAGAGATAAATTTGTAAGATACATCTATATAAAATGTAAGAGATCGTTCATTTTGAAGTATTTGGTGAAATTCTAGTAAGGATAAACTAATACTATTATTTGGAATTAAATTAAAAATGGTAATAAATGGTAAAGTACTAAGAATGAAGTTGTTTGATATAACAGTAGAAAGACGTATTGTTAAATAATGTTATTTTACCTAATTAATGACAGACCAAATATTTTATTTGAGAAAGTACAGTTTGTTATCATTAACAGAAGTAAAATAGGTGACATCTATAATTTGAGAAAAGTCATTATCAATAATGTTATCATAAGGCCAAACAGTAACTGATACATTGCAATTAAAAATAAGTTTCAGTGAGTTAAAAGAATATCCTAAATATAGAGTAAATAGATTCTATATTTTGGAAACTGATCTAGGATTATGATTGAAAGCTGAGTTATTAATACAGTATTGTATGACAACTTTATTAGAAACAAAATATGATCTTATAACTTTTCCAATAATGTCTTGGCTAGGATATAATAAATTATAATAATTATGTTCAGGTGGAGTCTAAAGAGCTATTCAAGAAGATTTTTTTCACTATCAGAAATAGAAGCAGTAATATAGCCTTGAGAAACAAAATTATCAAAATAATATTTAGGTTTGAGATAGTATAAATGTATAAAATTCAAGAGAACAATTTTTTGTAAAGCAAGAAACTATCCTGAAATAGTTTCTTTATTTGGAATACTAGCTTTGAGAGAAATGTCATAGAATTCCATTAAAAAATTTTCCTATATAACAAATTGATCAAGTAACAAAGCTCTGTATTTTTTCAGTGAAGGGATCTATTTCTTCTTCCATAAAATGAGAGAAGTGAGAGTTTTGGTATCTCCTTAGATATAAAAATTAGAAGCAATAGAAATAGTCCTTTATATTAAAAAAAAAGCCTGAAGATAAAGGTAAACATATTACAAAAGTAATTATTGTGTCTCAGATTTTTTAGTTATAATGACTAATATATAATAGGATATCTGATAATTAGAAAAAATTTTAAAGTTGTTTGAGACAAATTTTTGTGATCAGAAAGAGTAGTAATCTTGAAGTATCTCCATTAATAATTAAGATAAAATGTTGTAATTTAAATATAACATATTAGAGATTAAATCATTAAATCTAAATAATAATTTATTATAAAATGTACTGTTAGGAATATTTTTATTAAATTTAAGTTTATGTTTAATAAATGTGCGAATG